CCTCCGCCACTACGTGTCGTGGTACTGTACGCGAATGAAGGTGGTGCTGCTGGACCACCACATCCACGCGGAGTCCCTTCGCCGACAGCTGGTGGAGGTGAGCCGCACTCCTGACCTGCCGCTGCTGTTCGTCAACAAGCAGCTCGTCGGCACCCTCCACGATGTCCAGGAGCTGGAGCAGGAGAAAAAGCTGAAGGACCTGCTCCATTTTGGCTTCGAGTGGCGTGTGGGCGGTGGCGGCAATGGAGAGAAGTCATTGACGGGCACGCTGCCGGCGCCATACGGTGACACGGAACTGTTTCGTGGCCGCTATCGTGGCACGCCGGTGGCGAGGCCGGTGGTGGCGTTGCCAAAGCTGCATCCATTTGATTTCCACTCGAATGAGTAAATGCAACCTGCCCATACATTTCCTCACACATCCGCTTGCAAAACGAGGGAAGACATGCACCAAAACAAAAAAAAAGCATTTGATGGTGGGCTCATCGAGGAGAGAAGCAGATGGCGTGAAGTTGGGCGATGCAACCACCACCACCAATAACAACACGCGCCGGTTGTCGGGCTTCCCCGTATCTTTTGCTTCATAGGTGCTGTGGGCGGGCTTTGAATGCGTTTTCTGCTGTCATCGCGTGACTTACTTCTGTGCGTGCGTATGTGCGGTCTTCTTCACTCTTCTTCAGGCAAGGCTTTGCGATGGAAAGTGTTCAAGGTATCGGAATGCACTTTACCGGCACGTCACCGGGACAGGCGTACGATCTAGAGGTGGTGCTGACAGAGCTGCTTGCGAAGGCCGAGAAGGCGGAAGCGGCTGGTGTGCGTGTGCGCGAGCACCCGTCTGTGGCATTCTACCGCGGCGACCGCCCGGCGCGGGTGCAGATGCCGCCACAGGATGGCGGTGACGTGCGTCAGACGGACAGCTGCATGTACGTCATCGCCCTCCATCAAGCGCTGCTGCCGCCGTGCGAAGGTGTGGTGCCCACAGAAGAACAACAGTCAGCGCGAATGTCGAGCTCAGATGGACTGGAGCTTCTTCGAGTCAACTGGGAATGGCTGCTATGGCTTCTCATGCCATCGGTGCGACTTGGTTCTCCTACAAATGGAAAGGAGGAGTGTAATAATAATAACAATAATAATGATGATGAAGAACAAAGCGCCTCTGCACCTATCTGTTCCACGCGGGAGTTGTGCAGGAAGCTGGAATGGGGCGACTACACACAACTTCGCCAACCAGGCTTGATGGACCGCGTGCACTACAGCTACGTTGTCTTTCTTCGCTTCTACGGCTGGCGCTTGCATGATGAAGAACGCGGTGTATTGGATCGTCATCAGAACTGGAAAGAGCGATACAAGCTGCTCTCTCGCGCCTGTGACATCAGCGGCGGCAGCAGAAGCAGCAGCAAGACTGACGAGCACGAGGGGAATGGCGATGGCCATGCGTCATCGATCGGGTTTTACGACGCCCTTACGCGCATCCTGTATGTGCTGCTGGAGTTGTGCTTCACACGCTATGCGGTGAACCTTGTTGCCTTTCTCCTGGAAGAAATGAACAAGGGCCGGCTCCTTTTCCTGCAGCCAACGTTGGAGAAGGTGTGGTTCTCTCAGGTCGATTGCTGCAAGCAGGTGGCAGATGCAGAAAAAAAGCGTCTCCGTCGGCAATTGTATTGCCTCACCCACAGCGACTCAGACTAGACTGTGCGTCGGCGCCGTGCCGTATTGGCTGTGAACATAGAGCGTGTGACTCTCTGTGTCCCTTCCCCCCCCCTCTCTCTCTCTCTCTCTATCTCTCTGTCTGTTTTGTCAAGACCATTTACGTGATGCCGAGACTAAACCCCGTCACCTGGAGGGCGCAAAAGACTTAATAAAAAAAAAAAAGACTTAGGGGATGGAGTGCCCGCACCTCCACCGGTTTTCCACCTTCAACCCCATTCTGACGTTTACTGATGTTGTTTCTCAATTCTTGTTTCTCGCATGATAAAGATATATTTATATACTTTTTAAAAGGAACTATAGTCACGCATGGACTTTCAGTTTTTATGGGACGCCGAGCTTGTTTTCCCCGTCGCCAGCCTCCTCATTGCGGCGACCGTGACGTATGTGATGGGGCCATGGCTCTCGCGCTGCCTCCCGGCGCTGCCACCCGCGCAGATGGTCGAAGGCCCCAGGGATCGCTCTTGCACCTTGCGTAAAAAGGGCAGTTGAGTGATGTGCTTTCCCTCCATGCGTGTGTGTGTGTGTGTGTGTGTGTGTATTGGTGCGCTGGTTGTTTGTTTGTTGTGCTGGTCGGCTATCCGCTGTGTGCGCTGTCAGTTGAGGCGACCCCCACCCCAACATGTGCCGCGGACGACTGCGCGCGCACGCAGTTGTGCGTGCCAGCAGCCTTCTTACTTCCGTTCGTCGTTCTCTCTCTTTCTCTCTTTCTCTTTCTCTCTCCACTGCTGTCTACCTGTCTATCCACCCGTGCAGGAGTGGCCGAGAAGACGAGGGGCGGGAGGGTGAAGGGCCGTTTTCGGGCAGCCAGTCAGTCAGTGAGGAAAAAAAAAGGAAAACAACAACAAATAACACAAAGGAGCAGAGTGGTGCTCACCTTACGGTGTGTGCGTGGGTGTCTTTACTAGCAGTCTCAAATGAGGGTGTCCAATGCGTTTCTTTTTCGTCGAGCAGGCGTGTTGCTGCAGCAGCTGCCGATGCCGATGCCGCCGACACGACCAGGTGGGAGCGTTAACATGCAGCACTCCATGGAGATGGAGGCGAAGCGGCGCATGGAGCTTGACGAAGCCACGCGAGGCCGCTTTGTCGTTGTGAAGGAGGAGGCGCGCGAACACAGCGGCCGTGTCATTGGCATTGATCTCGGCACAACGAACAGCTGCATCTCGTACATTGACAATGTGACCAACAAGCCTAAGATCATTCCCTCGCCTACTGGCTCATGGGTCTTCCCGACGGCGGTGACGTTCGACAAGAACCACAAGATTCGCCTCTACGGCGAGGAGGCGCGTGCATGTGTGCGCACAAGTGCCAGTGCGACGTTGTGTAGTGGCAAACGTCTCATTGGTAGAGGCGTCGGCGAACTCGGACGCGTGCAGTCACAGCTGCATAAGACGAACATGTTGACCCTCAATGAGAAGGGTGAGGTGGGAGTGGAGATTATGGGCCGCACCTACACCGTTGTGCACATCATTGCCATGTTTCTGCGCTACCTCAAGCACGAGGCGGAGCGTGTCCTGAAAGAGCCGGTGGACGCGGTGGTTGTGAGTGTCCCAGCGTTCTTCACGCCACAGCAAAAAGTGGCAACAGAGGATGCGGCACTCGCAGCAGGATTTGACGTACTTGAAGTGATCGACGAGCCGTCTGCCGCGTGTCTGGCGCACACCGTGCTGCAACGCGGTAAAAAGGCCGATCGGCAAGAGGAACAGGCACCGAAGCAGAAGCGCATCATTCGCTCACTGGTGTTTGACCTTGGTGGCGGCACGCTTGACTGCGCGGTGATGGAGCACGACCAGCACAAAGGCACCTTCACACTCGTCGCCACTCACGGCGACCCGCTTCTGGGCGGCAACGACTGGGACGCAGTGCTGTCGCAGCACTTTGCCGATCAGTTTGAGCGCAAGTGGCGTGTGCCGTTAGAGGACGCAGAGGGGAATGTCGGACAGGGCGTGGCGACGTACCGTCAACTCCTGCTAGAGGCCGAAAAAGCAAAGATCCACTTCACACACTCAACAGAGCCATATTACGGTTACAACCGCGCGTTTCACTTTTCTGAAAAGTTGCGTGATATCGTACCGCTGGAGGCAACGCTGACGCACGAGGAGTATATTGAATTAACGCGTCCGCTTCGTGTACGCTGCATGGAGTGTCTTGACAAACTCTTTGAGCACACTGGCGTTCGTGTCACAGATATTGACAATGTGCTGCTAGTGGGCGCCATGACACGTGATCCGCCTATTCGCCGTATGCTGACGGAGTACTTTGGGCGGCCTGTAGCTCCCGAGAGTTCATGCCCGGCCGACTACGCCGTTGCCATCGGCGCCGCGGTGCGTGGGGCGATGCTCCAGGGAAGGTTTGGCGAGCTGTCAGCGAACACACGCTTCATCAGCGGCACAGTGCAGGCGATGCGGCACGGTGGCCCGCTTTACCGCCTTTGGGGTCGCATGAAGTCGTTGGTCTCACGGTCAGTGAACCCAAACGCGATTGGACAGCGTTGGCGCGGCCGGGCGAAGGGTCTGAGTGACGAGGAGATCGCCAACTACGCAAAAGAACTAGTGGAGTTCGAGGCCGCATGTGAGCGAAGGCTGCTGTTGGAGCGGGCAGAGAATGATGCCAATTTCGTCATGCGTCGCGTGACGGCAGACGCGAACAAGCGGCAGGGAATGCAGGAAAAGCGCGTGCGACAACTGAGTGAGCAGCTCAAATTCTGGCAGTACATGGTGCACAACTTTCATGACCATGAGGATCAGCTGCTGCGCACCGTGAAGGAGTTGGAGCGGGCGCTGGACGAGTTGGAGGGCCGCGCAGAGGACAACACGTGGGCCCTCACAGGCGAGGGAACTGTCGACTTCGCCACAGCGAGGCCCATCAATTACTGCGGCGAGGGCGATCCAGCGAGGGGCAGCGCACCACTACCACCCTCCCAGTCCACACCGCCAACAACGCCGCCGGTAGAGGCCGCGGAGGGTGCGCAGGAGGGACAGAGGGAGAAAGCAAAGGGACCGAAGATCATCCGTCGCCCCGCACCACTTCCAAGGGCAAGCACAGAGGCGCAACAACTTGTGGAGGCGGGCCACCCTGCCCTGCGTGGCGCCGATGTTACGATGACGGAGTCGACGCGCAGCGCTCTGTTTGAGGCGCAGGTGGAGGATCGTGCGTGGCGCGAACCCCCGACGCCGCCCGGCGAGGAGGGCTCCTGGCAGGAGGTTCAGCGCGCCGTCGAGGCGGG